GTTATGACCAGTATCATAACGAGTCTGGATTTCAAAAGAGTTTACTATTCAATTCTGGAAAGGGAGTTTATAATTATCATTATACTTTAATTAATACGTGGGATCTTAGAAATGTTGTACGTTCAGAGAATGAATACCAGACACTTACCGTATGTCGCTCATGTACAAGGTAATCCAGTGGTTGGTTGTATAGGGTGCTTAAATTGGAAGAACAAGAAAGAATCACCAAAACTTCCAGGCAGGGTTTTGTTTTAATAACAATAAAAACAGAACAAACAAACAAAATAACGACTCAGCGGGTTCGAACAACACCATTATTTAATGTATTCGCACGCGACAGCGTGCCGAGATTCAGGGAATGCACGATCCATAGCAAAATGTGGAAAGACTTTTTCCATTATTGAATTAACCCGAGACTCTAAACTAAGTAGACTGCTCAATGTGAAACCCAAGGAAGAACTGCCTGTTTTTCAGATCTCCTGAATTCGACACCTCGCCTCGACATGCCCATTTCTTGGGTCCAGAAGTTTCTGTTCTTATCTTATTGGCGGGAACCTGAATATCGGGACGCTTTGGTATAACTGTACTATGTTAATAATTACCTGATTGACTGGACTTACATTTATATAAATAATTATGTGACTAACTGAACTTACAAGTAACCCTAGCCTTCCTCTAGTGACTCCGTGTAGCAATACGGGACGGATTAGTCAATCTCATTTCATATATTCTTAATAGCTTCGAAAATCCGCCTAAAAACCAGCTATTTGATCTATTACTTTCCTTCCCAATTATTATCAATTTAACAATTTGATTTAATTCTAATTTGGAAAAATATGGGTTTCTTTGTTCTGTCCCAGCATAGGTTGGCGCCTCCCGGACACGACAGATGACTGTCACATGACCCGACGTGTTGACTGAAATATTTTACTTTTTGGCCCATCCATTTCGAGAACTAATAAATAAATTACTACGCGTCCCGGCTTTTGTTACATATTTGTCAAGTTCTCTATTTCATAGCAACTAAAGTACTTTTACCAAAACAATCTATCTTTTTAGAACACAGAAAACATTGAAAACACTTTGCACAACTGGTAAGCCTGCCAAGGATTTATCTGTTTTTCTTTCATGTTTTTTTTTGTTTTTTTGTTTATTTAAATAAAGTTAGTAATGCTTTATAGTGAAACCGTGGTCGATTGTACCGACACAACTAACCTCCAAATTATGTATTGGTACATTTGACAGTAACTGTTGTTTTGAGACTTACATGTACTATATTTTATTTTGAACAATAAATGGAACTGATAGTAACTCTATAATAAGATCACGCAATTGAATACACTTACGTTTAAAAAATTGAATACGTTAACTGTATCAACAAAATAATGCGACAAAAATACTTGCGTTTGATCACTGACCTTTATAATGTCTGTGCGTTTGATATACGAAGATATAAATTTTAAAAACGTCATTTTCTCGACGATTCAAATGACATTAATCTAAATGTTTTCAGTGTGTAGGCAACAGTTTGTCGTATACAACTGCCCCTATACACTGTATCTTTAGAAATTTAGAAAAATCAAAATGACAAAAAGATTTCAGCCATAGAACCCAGAATTCTGCCAGCCCGAAAACTTTTTAACCGTTGACAACTGTCAGGGGATCATACAAACTGTGCAAAATTTATTTACTGCCAAATTAACTGTATTCCATTTCCACAAATAATAATTTTCACAATTGCTGCAGCTACTCAAATATCGCCTGCTGTAATAAACGAACGTCAGAATAGGACTTCGTGTAGGTTCAGCACAAAACGAGATGTAGGTTCAGCACAAAACGAGATATGCATTGAAAAACGCTCTCATTGGACGTTCACAAAATGCACGCCGTCAATTAGGTATTCCAGAACTTTTTAATTAATATCGTAGTTGCATTCCTTTTTCTGCCGTGACACCTTGTTAGTTGAACAAATACCGTGTTGCAGCTGTGGCTTGGGACATTTCGGGGATAATCACGTGTCTAAAGTTGAACGGAGCAAATTGTATTCGTTAACCCAGGGGAATTCCCCTGCAAAGCTACATTCGCCCCTGTGGAGGCGTACTGTCCGTTTAGGGCTCTTTTTCGGTCAAAAATCTGATTTTAATCGAAGTAGATGCAACGTTCAGAAATCTTCTGTAAATGCGTGGGCTTAAAATTACTTATTATTGTTTGATATAAATGAAGTGTCGGAGAGTTAATTTTATTGTTTAGTTTGTTTGTTCTGGAAGTTAATCAATATTTATATTATTTTATTGATCGATTGGCTGTAAATGCCAGCAAAACTCAAGCTATCAGACTTTGTAAATAAATACATCAATTTTCTGACCTAAATTTATTTACTGGGTCAAAAAAAATAATTTACTTTTATTTTTTCCAATTTGTTTTATTTTACGATCTTTTTGGGTTTATTAATCTTCAGAAAAAACATCATAAATGATTTATGATAAAGGAACTTAAGGTTCAGCTATCTTGCCACCGCTGATCATGAGCTAGACGAAGGACATGCAATAAGCTTCGAAGACATCAATGTGCTTGTGACGACATGATTTTACAATACAGTAAGACGGGAATCCAATAATATATTCAACAATAATATGAACTAGGTTTTCTTTGGAATAAACTGGTGTTGAGTACACTTTCCCTTTTATTGCACACCAGATATAAAAATTTTATGGTGACAGATCTGGAAATGTTGGTTGCCAATCCCAGGGTCCTAGACATCTAATCCACCGATCTTCAAAAATTTCATTTAATTGGCGGTATACTTTGTTTCTACAATGAGGTAGAGCACCGTCTAGTTGATATCTTCTGGTAGCTTCTTAGTGAATCTAGGGGTAGTTCCTCTAAGAAATATGTTACAACAGTTCTCAAAATATGGAGGTATCTTTGTGTATTTAAATTGTGCTCGTAAATAAAGTACCTCACCAGATTGTCTTTAACTAAGCAAAATACGTTGACACTAAACTTGCCTTGAACATTTCTTTCACAGATGACATGTGGATTTTCTGATGCTCAAATGTGTCGATATTTACTATTAAAAATACCTTGTTACTAAATTTTGACTTATCTGACCAAATGATTTTGCGTAAAAACTCTGGATCTTCTCGTGTTCGCGATAAAATCATTTCACAGAATTGGGTTCGTCTTTCAGCATCCCTGGAATGAAGTGCAGGTGCAAAATTGAATTTAAATGGATGCTGACCATTAGTTTTGAAACTCTTTTGGATTAAGGTTTTTGAAATGCCGAAATCCTGTTCAGCAGCACTAACTGATGATTCAGGGTGAGCATGAAAATATGCCAAAACATTGACGATGTTACCTTCTAATTGATTTCTTAAAATTCTTCGTAAAATGTGTCTACTCATTGGTGGCAAATGGGGATAACTCTCATTAAACACCCTGCAAATCCTATTGCAAGTCTTCTCCATGAATAAATAATAAATTTATTATGTCAACATTAGAATAAATGTTAACGTTTTCCATTCTTTACCAATATATGATACTCAAATAAACATTCACTGTATCTGTTAAATTCACAACAATAAACTGGTGACACATTAGGTGCTTGTTCCACTAAAAATGTTACAGCCGTCCTCGAAAGAAAGAATTAGGCAGTGCATTTTTATTTTTATTTGTTTTTGAAAAAAATTAAAAATATCAAAAACGGTTAACTTTAAAAATAGGAAACCTTTATAAAAGTTCACCTAAAAATTGACGTAGTATCCAAAATTTCGATAATATATAGCAAGGGTCGGCAACTGGCGGACCGCGGTCCAGATCTGGACCGCGGAAGGGAAACAACTGGACCGCCAAAAATATTTTGAAAGTATAACTACATACTTGTTATTTAAAAGTATAATTACTTATTATTTAAAAAACTATTTTTCTGTAGATACGTTTAGATACGATACGTTTAGATAGTTTTCTGTAGATACGTTTGAGTGCCATCCTTATCACTTTTTAATGGTTAGTAGGTTAGTAAAAAAACTGACTCAAGACCGCAAATGTAATTTTTCCCATTGATTTTTTAATACCAATATTCCTGTCTATTGTATTTCGTATTATTTTGTAGGTGCAAATTAAAATAAAAAATTAGTAAAGAATACGAGTTTTTTTGGACCTCGTTCAAAATTTTCAAAAGTATCCGGAGTCCACTTAAAATTACTTGCCGACCCCTGATACATAGGATGTTCCACTTAAAATAACGAAAATGAGGTCAACATCCGGTATAATTGGAAGCGTTGAGTGAACGCCATTAATTTAGTTGGAAAGGGCATGCCCGAAAACACTATTGCTCAAATTTTCAAAATTAAAATCGAAGTAGTCTCTGAAATATGTCTAATACCTCGTCATCGTGGGACACTCTGTATAGGCCACGGAATAAAATACTTTAAATAACAGTACGGGCAGTAAAAGCCTTAAAACCACTATTACTAGTAAAACCTTTTGAAACAACTTACAATGCTTGCTATTGCAATTTCTCCTTTAGTTATAACTAAACTACATTTTCAAACATTTCAAGTTTTCATTTCATCTACCTTGTTGGAAAGAATAAAACGTTCGTCTCACTATTTAGTACTTCAATTATTATAATCCAGTTGTGATAAAAATAATAAAGTTAAGTATTCACTATCATATTAAGAACTAAAAAATAGAGTTGAAATGAACACAAGAATCTATTTGGACAGCAAAGTCACACATTATAAAATATTAATGTAATCATATTCATTACTTTAATGTTAGAAGTCGGAAGGAAGGTAAATATTTACTTTATAAATATTTTCATTCACCTTCAGTAGTCTTTTACCACTTTCATCAATTTCATTCATTAACAATCGGAAAATACTACAAACATGAGAGAAAATATATATTTAATAAATATAACAAAATTGCATGTTTAGCAACTAATTTCCTATGTAGTGGATTTCTCAAATCTTAAAATATTTTTATTTTTGTTACAGTTTTCCGCAGTAGTGATTAACACGAAGGTAAGTCAAGAAGTGAATTATTATTTTTTTCTGGAGACTACTTTGAATTTAGTGAATTTGGCAAGTAACGAACATTACCAAATTGATACAAGAATGGGAGTATAGTCTTACATCTTGTTTATCCACTAACAATTTATAAGTGAACCAAATAGACCAAAACGTCTGAATTCTCTCAAACAATTTAAATTGGTTTTCCAATGAGTTAATCTTAAGAGTTACAAAATTGGGGTAATATTGTCTGCTGTCTAGTAATATGAGCTTCATCGAATTGCAATCATTTGTAAATATTTATTTTCACTAGGCGGAATAAGGTTTTTAACTAATGATATTGTGGGAAAAAACTACTCTACTACTTACACCCCAATATCTAGTAAACATCTAAGATCATATGTCAGTAAAATTATCAGGCACAGACCGGATTCGAACGTATTAGTTCTCATCAATATGCCATATCAGTATCAATATCCCTAAATCAAAATCTAGTTGGACGTGATGACTTTTATTTATTATTAAAAAAGATTGCATCCAATAAATTGATACAAAACCTTTCCTACAAGTTAAAAGCAGAGTACAAATAACATAAATTAATTAATTGCTGACGTACGATTTAAATGATCAATAAACTTTTTCGTTTTATGAAGACGTGTCTATTTGTTTAGTCTGGGTTAAGGTCAGTTCAAGGTCAATTGTAGATAATCAATTGCCAACAATGAAAACCAATGTATCCATAAGTTTTTGTGGTCGCTGAATCCGAATCCGGAGTTCATTTGACCCGATCAGTTCTGATAAATACTCTCAAGTTCTAAACTCAAAACATTCAAGTTAAACATTCATACAAACATTTGAGTATCAAATAAGAAAAGAAAGAAAGCTAGCCGAGGTTTTTATTAGATTAGTTTATTGAAACATAAAGATTTCACCAAGATATTAAGGAAATGGAGCGTCGGTACGAAGGCAGATACGATATCGACAAATCGTAAAAGAGATCCACTTCGCGGATCTTTTGACAACAAAATTTCTTTAATACCACAGAAGTGAGAAGTAGTTTTGATATCATAATAGTGAGATATAGTGATTTCATGTGATTCATCAAGGCAAAAAACCTCTTATCTTGAAAAACTGTTCTCAAGAATCTCAATCGACACAGACTCACTGTGCAAATTAATGTACATGAAGCATTAACAGACACATTGGTTTAAAGCTTACTTAATTACGTTTAAAGATACTAAAATTTTGATGTCAAAACAATTTACTCGAGAGTCACGAGCTCAGCTTTCTTTCTTGAATCTTATTTGTTACTCAAATTTGAATACGCATTTATACTTAACTTGGGTGTTTTGAGTTTAGAATGTTCGCGGTCGTTCAGGATATCTTGCACGATATACTTGACAAGCTCTGTGGACATTTTCGTTGTAAAAAATGTTACAGAATAAAGTATTCGCCGCAATATGTATTTCAGCAGTTCCAAAACAGTTTTAAACACATTTTTAATAAGCTTTTTGCTCTATGACCTTAAACTCTTGATACAAGTTTGTGACATCAGTTAACTCAGTTTTTGCTCTTTTTTTACCCCCTTAAATTTTTGACATAAGTTCATTAACACCCTGTATAAATACCATGTTCTTGTCTTTCGGACTCCCACTTTTTTGGGGAGACTGCTACTTAGAATAATTTAAATTTAAAAATAAACGGTTGATTGCTTGTTGTTCCGTTCCACAAAATGTGTCATAAATTATTTTCATATTAGTCAAATACGGTGCATGATTATTGAGTACTAATGAAATGTAAGTATAGGAACTTACTACGATGAATGATATAATCATTTTATTACAGCCCAAAAAATGTCTATACCAATTGTGTTGGGTGATTGTTTTTAACATGTAATATGCATGTAAAATATGTACATAGCATTATAATGATATATGGATGTCGAACTTAATATGAAATTATATTAACCAATTATATCTGTAATCATCGACTCATTATGAGCGATTAATTTTCCTGTACTGCATATTAGATAGTGATTAATTGCTCAATGAGAAACCTTCATCTGCATATTAAGTTTGTAATTCACGATATCTGACGACTTAGGACATAGTCTTTAGTCGCTATGCTTATAAATAAGTAACCAGTGATAAAGTCAAATATGTATATTATCTGTAAACTAAACGTCCCAGCACCTACAATTATTAAACAATAGAAACAAGAATTTTACGTCTTTAAGTTAAATAAACAATTGTTCTTACTATCCCACAAATTAATGTTTAACTAACCTTGCACCATATAACACTTACAATTAGTATAATTTTATTACATTATATTTCATGTAAAAACCTAAAGCAAAAACTTATTTGTACATCACGTAGCTTAATAATGTTTTTCTTAAAAAAATCATCTTTTATCGAAAGACTGGATATAAAAAAGGATTTTTATATTTTTGGAAATAAAACAAAATCCACCTATCTTAAAGTCGTTTAATATAGAAATAATATGTATTCTCTTTGTACTTGATGACAGCTAATTCATCAATTTTTTAGTTGACAACAGATTAACGATCCAACTTGATTTTCGTTTACATAGAAGCACAATACGACATTGTTTAGATATTTGTAAGGTTGTCTGGCGCCAGTACTACTAACTCAACCTTAGAACAAAAGATATTTGTAATCGACGTTTATGCTTTAAATTTCACATTATAAAGTTCAATAAATTTGAAATAAATTTGATTTGCATCTTTAAACAATTCCGTTTTTTTAATACAAATAGTTACATTTTTATTAAATAACTGTGAATAATGTTTTGTCATATACAGCAGTATCTTAAAAATGTAAATAAATATTAGTCATGGTGAAACCACCAGAAATAAAGTGGCTTGTCATTTTTTCTTTTATAATTTTTTATATTGTGTACCTCTGTTTTCATGTAAAATGATCAAAAACAAAATAATGAAGAACTATGTGTTACGTATTTTAATCACATCTTAAAAAAAATAAGATATATGAGAAACAATCCTATTCCTGCTTACGCTTCATCAAATATACTCAGTGATTGTAGATTTTCATTTACGCCAATACAATTGATCGTTGTTGGTACTGCCCTCTAAATTCTAAAAGAAACTAGAAAGTTTAATTAAAATTTCTAATTTTACGCTAATACCAACAGCAGCTTATTTTAAAATGAAACATAGAAATCAAAAAAGTAATACTATTTATTGACAATATAAATATTTTTTGTACAGTTTCTCTTAATTAAATGATCTTATTCCAATAACAAGCAATTTGTTGCCAACGTGATTTAACAGTTCTATCAACTAAGAAACTTCCAGAGTAAATGTCAAATGTTGTGAAATTGCTTTTCATCGTTGATATAGATAAAAGATGGGATCCAATTTGGTACGAGTTAGAAGAAATACAATAAATGAAAGACCAATGGACATCGTTATTAAACTTTTATATGTGATATCTATTGATAGCGATAAATTATGAATTTACCCCGAAGCAATTACCCGTATCCATATGTAATCAAATAAATTCAAAAGAATACCTATTTGATTTCAATTCGTGAGACTAGTGAGGTATGGCCTTTCCTTTTGTCCAATGTAATATGTAATATCTAAAGAATTCTGTACGTGCCATGTTATATTCCCTTGGATAAAAAATTTATTTCAACTTTAACTCGTGGAAAAATAGAAGTAATGGATTAAAATTGATTCAGTTATATTATGCACAGGTAGATAGATTGGATATCATTACTTTTCCCTTGCTGTATTTTTAATTGATTTCAGTGTTCTAAATGAACCATGTCTGAATAGATTTATTTTAATTTTGTGTTTGTATATGAAAATTTTTAAAAAATAGTTCTTGAAAATTATTGTATTTATTGCCAGCATGCCAACTATTTTTTCTTGTTTGATCGGATGCGAATTTCCAAGTCAAATTTTGGCTACCTACTTCTTTCTATCGAAGGTGTGATCTAAAAAATTAAAAATATTGAGAAATTTTATTTTTAAGTATTTTTTATTTACTGTTAAATTGATTAACTAAGCAACATAATTATTTCATATTAAAGAGTTTAAAAGTATCCGAAAGCAAGTGAATGAGTTGTTAAAAAATAGATGACCTTTTAAATGAGGTAAGTATAATTTGAAGTACGGGAGAAAGCCTGAATTTGCACATTTAATACCAAAATGACTTCTCCCAAAATAAAAATTATCATATTCCACCAATTTCGTCATCAAATCAACAATCAATCAATCAATTAATCAACATAATAAAATGTAGCATCAAACTGTATTCTGCAGAGCAATTCTCCTTAACAATCGAAGTTTTTAAAATACTATAAGAACTAATTTATAAAAACTACTATTCACCTATTATTTTTGTTTATAAAATAGTAAAAGTATGAAAACTCATATGACTATTAATTAGTACGCGAAGCGCAAATAGCTCCATCTGTCGTGCATCCTAGTGCAATCCTAGCTGTTGCACTAGGTGTTGCGAGTGTAATTCAATGCCGGTCGGGGCATATAGCCCGCGGAGTAGTTGTTTCTCGCAACACTGGCAATTTAAAGACTATTAATTAACTTAATTCGTTTTAGTCGTATATAATCCTTAAGTTTGCTTCAGATGATGTGGTCACATGATAAATATTTAAAAATGCAAATAAATGCAGCATGATGTGGATACATACTGCAAATACTGTGTAGATATGTCAAATAACATATATTTGTTAAATGCCTTATCGTGTGGATGATGCATATCGATGTATTCAAAAGCATACACAATAACAACAGATATTATTCCATATATGGTGGTTTGCTCAGGGGATGCTAAATACAAATGCTTTAAAACGAATCTGCTCGATTGTATGACACTTGGCGCTATAGATTTTGTTCAGATTATCTTCAAATATTTGACACATTGACGTCATATGAATGTTTGGTTTAATGAGTGGCTGCATCACCTGGATCCAGCTTTAAAGAAAAGTTAAGACAGTTTATT